ACCTTTAGGATTTCATTTTGTCACTACATTTTTCAATCAATAAGGAGTATTACATTGAAAATGGGAGAGAGGCCCAGATATTACATTAAAAATGTGCCAGTCAGAACAGTGGCGGATTCAGGAATTTTCTTGTGCTCGAATAAAAGGTTGTTCGAAAGAATAAATAAAATTAATTTTTTTTTAAATAAATTTTCCTCCATCATGTATTTCAACTGTGAGACTCGGTGTGGAGTCAATGGGTCAATCAACAAACTGTGACAGGAGAACGTGCCTTCGCATCTCACGGCGGCCCAAAACTACGTCACTCTTTTCTTTAAATTGCTGCTTTTTTTAACTTTTTTGGAATTTTATGTTCACCATCCAGGTAAAGGTGCACAATTTTGTATTAAACGACCTTCCTATAGAATGAAGAAAGTAATATTTAAAAAAAAGGATAATTTTTTTGGTAATAAATTGACTTTACTGATGTTTTTTATTGGCTAAACCTATTACTTTTTAATTTTTGTTCATGTTTTAATATTTTCTGATTATCCAGTTTTAATAAAAGGCCAATTATGACGAATTTAAGCCAAATTCTGATTCTCAGTGACCAAAAAAGTCTTCGGTATGCCATGTTTGGACACCATTTTGAGGCAGTGCGTTAATTTTTTTTGTGGGAACATTGGCTATTTTAAATAAATAGTTTGCAGGAACACAACGATATGCAATTTATAAGGATGTGGGAGGGGAGGGAGTGTACGGTAGAGGGTTCTGACCCACAGATTAAATATAGTATTTTTTAAGATCATCCGTTTCTTTTTAATTTGTAATATTACCGAACTCGTCTTAAAAAAATACAAATTAAAGAATAAACAAAAAAAAAAAATTAAAACCTCTTACAATTTTGAAGGCAAGAGTTACTGAATAGTGTTCATGATTTATTAATATGCTGGTGTAACCCATTCATGATATTTTTTGATCTAAAACGTTAGCATTTTACAAAAATAATCTTTTTATGTCTTCTTGAGTAAAAATATTCCACTTTATTCATTGCTACAAATAGCTCAAATCTCGGATAAATCTCTATTTAAAAATAAAAAACTTCTTTTGTACTCCAGCCATTTGTATCAATGTCTTTTTAGAGCTTAAGCTTTTTTAGTAAAGCAAAAGGGGTTGTGTCTAGTCAAGATGAAATAAAATCCTTATTTTCTTTGAAATGGTGGCTTAATTGACGAAAAATTAATTTTATTTGAATGTATATAATAACTAGGGCTGTATTTTTGTCCTTCATTCATCTCTTTATGTGGGAAGAGGATAATGTTGGAGGATCAGTTTTCTTGTGTGTGAAGGTACTTAGCAGTGGCAGCTATGGATCTCCGACATTATGTTTACACAAAGATTTTTTCGGAAGAGGATACCCTAATAATCCACCACATAAAAGCTTATCTGACAAATATCTTCCAGGAAGGTCATTGAAATTTCAAATCTTAAATTAGACAGATAATGTTTTTAGAACTATTCAAATTAATATATAAACAATGGTGGAAAAACATGGTTAATTTTTTAAAAAAATCATGGACTATTGAATAAAATATAGAAACACACAATTTATTTATTTTCAATTTTTATTAAAATTTTTTAAAAATTTTGTTTATATATATTTAATTTGTTTTTCGACCTAAGGAGTGTCTTAGAATAACAATAACACGAGAATAACGATCAATGAGACATTAGCGTTGATAATTCAACAGCTTTACTCCTTAAAACCCAAACAAACAAATAATATCGGTATTTCTATTCTTTTTTATTGATATTAGCATTAGCATACATTTTTTCAAAATTAAATTCCTACTCTTTTCAATGATTAAAAATATTTTCTTCCCGACAGCAAACTCGCTGATTGTCATTACTTTTAACAGGTGTGGATGAGAAAATCAAGTTGTAAAAAAAAAAAGAAAAAGAAATATCTTTTAACGCCGAATACGCTCATATCTTTATTATTTTTTTAAATATTTTTTTATTTTCGACTACAATTAAAGGGTGAGAAAGAAGGGAAAAAATGAGTAAATATGAGATATGTTAAACATGAAAATTGCATGCACACTAAAAATATTAAAATAAAAATATCCAAGAAATCAATAATGAAAAATAAAGAATTCCCCTTTTTGAACGTTTATAATATTTATTATTGAGTTAAAAAAATATATACAATAGTAAAAAGGAAATAAACAATGGAAAAATATTATCAAAATGCTCTAAAATAAAATCATACATAAAATACAATATTCAGAGAAAATATAAACGAATTAAGCATTAGGAATAAAATCAACTTCTAAAATTATAGATAAAACCAAGAGAAAAAAAGTTTAAAAAGAATAAAAATAAGTTATGGGGGCAACAAAAATAAATTAATGTTCAAATATCTCTTGGTGATGGTGAGAATGAAAAACGAGCCAAGTTGGAGGTTATGCTTCCAACGAGGTTACCTTGTATAGCCAATGACAACAGCAGTCGATGGAGGGGGAATCGATATGTATATCGATCTCGATCGATGACTGGAGATGTCTCAGCTGGGCTCTTCAAAATGGCGCTAGGCTTTCGCGCAGGTGGGGTGAGATGAGATGAGACGAGCCTGGAGCTGGGGAAAATGGTGGGGGTAGGCGTCCAACAAGTGGACCCAACACAAACGAAGGCTCGCTCCAGACTGATTTTCCGGCAGTTTTATCGCATTATTTTGATGTCTTAATCCCTAAGAGTGGGTATTACTGCCGGACTGGAGCATATACACAAAAGCGATAATACATCGCAAATAAACCTTAATATATAAACAATATACATTTCTGGGACACTATCTCTCAGTTTTTTACCAAAAAAAAAGGGGTGAATAGCGAGAAAAATAAATAAAGATATGGGCGTATACGGCGTTAACAATATCAGACATGTTTTCTCGATGGGTTGAATTGCCCTTTTGATAGATGTCGATTTGATAGATGACAGGATAGATGTCGATATTTTGCCTATGTCGAACTTGCCTAGTTAATGTTCAGACCACTTGATTTTGCAGATAACGGTTATGACACATCTCTGTATAATTTTTGTAAAGGCGATTAACTATGTAACTAAACATCCGAAAATAACACATTTAAAAAGATACCTACATGTAAATATGCATATATTAATGTTATTAAGAATTGTAGGATAAATAGATGAATAGCTCATGTTGACACTTATGGATGGCACTTAATATAAGTTAATCTAGTATGACTTACAAAGTTAATGAACCGTTTAATATGCGGCGGTACTTTCCTGCCTATATGCTATGGTAAACTGCTACAAAACTTGTAAACTTGGTGTGTATACTAGGTCCTTCTTCGTCGTAACATTAAAGAGACTTAGTTGCTTCTATTGAACTTGTTCACCAGTTTTACTGTCCAAATATACTAAGCATCAAAGTCGGCGTTCATTAATGCCTCTGTCGCGTTTATTTTAGAGGAATACAAGTTAAAATATTTATTTCGCTGTTTACGGATTTGTATTTAAACAAAACTTGGACTAGATAACCCTCATATTAGATTGTTATTATTCACACAAATACATTCAACATATTTTACTCTGGGACATTTAATCCCTTAAGAATAATAATAATTAACGATAGAAGTATATACAATTAATACAAAATAATATAACTAAAGTTAAGTAAATTAAAAAATACATATAAATACCTATATACACTATTTACAATCAGGCCTGGGAACTCCACGGAGTAGGAGATCCCTGCGCTATTCAGATGCTAAAGCCAGGGGATATAAGAAAGAGCTCTTTAGCCACATACACTCATGTATTGTGCGGAGCATCCTACCATTGCCAGAACTGCAATATATATATACAGCGAGTCGCGTGTGCACAGCACCATGTGTTGCCAGGCAACCTGAAACCGAAGTTAAATTGAAAAATGTTACGAGGGCAAATACCGGTATCCGGTGAGAATTTTAACTCGAAATAATTCTCCACTCTTCTCCTGGGGACTGAGACAAACCCTGTGTAGTCCAAAAGACAATTAAGGGGAGGAAAAAAAAACATAAAAAAAACAGCACTACTACCTGCGGCCTAATTAATAACTGAGTCAGTGATAGTACATAAAAATGCGATATAAAAATGAGAGAATACACTAGATTGTAGAGAGTTATGTTAACTAAACATATTACCACTTGTAACATTACTCACATTTCAAAACAATGTTAATGTAATATAAGAGAAAATTTCTTTGTTCGTTCTAGAACATTCATATTGATATTGTTAACATAAATATATTTATCAAGTAAAATTTCGATCTTCTTATCAAATTGTATCTATTACTCCAAAACAAAATACTTTCGCTTTCAGATCAGAAAATAATTGGCATGTATTTGACATGCCTTAAGTCTGAAAATGGCGCATTCGATTTGAACCAAACTTTGAGGAAATTTGGAAATAGTGTAGAAATTATTTAGTATCAATTTTATTGAATTCAATTTCATAATTAAAATTTATATAAATAATTGTTAACAATATAATGTGCTCAGAACCGAAAAATTCCACTAGCGTTTTACGTTTTACGTTTTACATCCACGTAAAAGGCATATCACCCACTGCCGTTTATTCGATGTTCATGAAATTTTTACGGATTCTACGGGTTGTCGTCTTCGTGGTCCCATATCAATTTTATCAAATTCCATCCAGCACTTCTTATAATTTAAGAAATAATATTTTTAAGGAACTAATATTTTGTTTTTTAAAGAGAAAAACAAATTTGAAAATGGATCTTGGAGCCTAAACATTAAATAATCATTTTTAAATGTTTGTAAAATGTTTTAAATCTAAAATAAAGGCTGTGAGATTAAAAAGAGGTTTTAATAAATACATAACCATAGAAACGATTAAAAATAAAAACATTTTTTTCTTATTTAAAATTTTAGTTTAGTTCATATTTTTACTGTTATATCATGAAAGACTCCTGATTACTAATAATCGTGTTTTTCTAGGCACTGGTGTACGTGTCTACAGCGTATTGCAACTGCACCGTTGATGGATTCATCGAAGAGAAGGTTTACCAAAGCCGGTGGGACCCGATGGAACTCCTCAGGGAAGTGATGGAGTCTCCATCCGAAGAGATCAATAGAAGAACAAAAGAGTAAGAAAAAAAAATGGTGCCTAAAGTCAATTATTTGTAATCTTGCATTGTAAAAAAAGACGGATTTACGATATTTTCTAGATTTCTAATAGACCATCCCAACACTTACTCATTCACCAAACAGCTAGCAGAAAACCTAATTGCTCAGGAATGTGGAGACTTGCCAATAGCGATTGTAAGGCCTTCTATCGGTGAGTTAGATTTTACAATTTTTTTCTGAAGTGATTTTTGTTACGTGTAATAACTAATGTCATCGTAAATGAAATTTGAATACTGTAGAACTTCTCAATAACAGACACGGACGGGAATACGATTTTTTTGTACAGTAGAGAGATGTTCGTTTTAGAAAAATGCAAGTAAATCTTATAAAAATATAAAAAATAGAAGATTTAAATTATATTTTATATCATAAAAACAACATTTTTCATTTAATTATTTATATTTTTTATAATAAAGTAGGCATATAAAATATGAATTTGTATGTAGAAAAATTTAAATTTCAAATTACTTAGTTACAGCGTTTGCAACAGTGATCTGTAGTATTTATTTGACTCTTTTGATGCTTAACTACCAAATTGGCTTGAATAGATAAAATTAGTACAGCTTCTTCACTGCCTTCGTTTTAAATAATTTCTTTTTTCAGCCAATTAATGCATAAAAGAGATTGGGATGATGAGAGGAGGGGTTGTTATCAGACGTTTCCTCTGTTTATGAATTTTAATGTGTGAAGGAGTATGTAATATGACTTATTTATCAAAATTCAATGAACTATTTTGTGAACTTAATTTCTAAGGAAACTAAATTCACTCAGATCCAATCGATTTGAAAAGAACCGTACTATGCAACGAAAGGCAACCGACCACTACACCAAATTTAAATATTCTTGGAAGTCAATTGCAATCTGCTTATGTATTTAACTAAATGTGCAAGTAGATTCATTTAGAGCACTGCAGTAGGGTTATTTTTTAAAAATTAAATTATATTTTTTTTTAAACTCTTATATTTCTTCAAGTGCTGATAATTTATAATCACAGCATATTATCACGGATTAACGAATTATGTGATGTAAAAACTAACATTACTTTAAATATAATCTAATATTTTTTTTTAATAATTTGAGCCCTCTAACTTAAAAACCAGTCTAGCCGTTCGCTCAAAAAATAGTGTCATAGTTTTAGCGGGAAACCCAGGCACAAACCCTTCTTGTGACTTTGCCATAGTAAAATTAGGATTTTAAGTATATTAGAAGAACTCTCTAAATACTTTAAAAATATTTTAAACTCACTTTCTTAATACAACTTAGAACCATTTACACACTTAAAGCCTTATTGCAGAAACATAAAAAAAGTGAAAATAGGTCATGAAGTTTACAGGGTCAGCGATCATAACGAAAAACGGGCAAAACTTTTATATATTTATAAATAAAATAGAATGGTATTTATTTATTAATTAATTAAATATAAATCCATTTAAAGCTATCAAAACAATAGAGAAAAACAGTGTGGAAGAACTTTATGATCTTATTTTATCACCCTCAATTAAACACAAATCCATTGAACAAATTCACCTTCCTCTGACATGGAATTGACAAATGAAATAGATTATACTAATAAATAAAGTTGGAAGGTTTGTTGTTTAAACCATGAACTTTTGCTCTTGATGAAGGCTTGAAAACTAAAGTCAATTAGGTAAAACAAAAAAGACATTACAAAGAAGTGCTGAACTGATAGCCATGGGCCCAGGGCCCAAAAATCGACCTGATCGCAGGCGAAGTTTTGATTGCAAATTACGAAAGTGTATGTTATTCTGAGTAAAAAGAACCTTGTCTGTCGTTACGGAGCCGCTCCTATCAAAAAGGGCGGCTGATTTAAAGAATATTAGACCAATAATTTGAGGATCGAAAAGGGAAATCCATTGCGAAAAATGTGAGAAAAGTTTCTATTTTTTAAACTTGTATATATGGGTTTACACATGTAAAAAACAAAATTTCTAACGCAGGCCACCAAGGGAAAACTTTTTACAGCCAAAAAAGTCAGATTTTGTCGATATTTTTTGAGTTTTTCATCTATAACTCCTAAACGATGCATCAAAGCGAAAAATGTATTCTTTAATAAATTAAAGAACGTTAAACTTTGTAAAAGAGTACATAAACTTTAAAATTTGATTTCGCGGTAAGGTGAAAAACTGCGGACAACCAACGCTGAGTTTTACCAAATTTGCCATAAACTGAGACAAATTACTATAAATGGAACTGTAACTTGGAAATGAATTCCTTAAAAGGAAAAACCTATAGAATCAAAGTTGTCGAGGGGAGAGGAGGGGGTGACCGAATGAGGTAACGCCTGAGCACAGCACCACGAGTTGTCCGGAAACCAGATAACCGAAGTTATGAGAGATTAAATAGAACGATTGCCGAATCCCGGTGCCGTAGGGTAATTCCCCGCCCTTACCCCCAGGCCCGGAAAAATTCCATATAGACTAACAGGCGAGGTGGGAAAGAATAGAAAATGAAAAAAAAAAGATATAGTAGTTTTTATAGTGCCTGAACTATAAAAACTATGTGGACTCTACCCCCTTAAATTAATGGCTGGTATTCTCATTATTTTATTATGATATCTCAGATTATCAAATGGTGTGATTAAACAAGGTTTTATGTAAATGTAAATGTTTTTCGTAATTATTTAACAGCTGCTATATTTTTTACAAGACCGGCACTGACAGAAAACGGTGTTGCTATTTCGTATTTCAATGATTTCCATTTCATTCTGGTCTTATCTTGATCAATTTACGGAGTAGTACATGCTCACAACCTGTTCACACTATAACCTACCTTTATTTTAATCGCGATTTACGACCTCGGCAGACTCCCGAGAGGTCCTTTTCAGTTAAAATTTGTCCTAAAATAGCTTTAATTACTTGTTTGCTTTCGAATCCCAGGCGCTAAGCTCTGAAGGGTTGAAAACCAATAAACAAGCCCCAACATGTTCTTGTCTGTGGAGGTCGAGGCTTCCGTCACTTCCGAACACCCTCGGTCGTTCTTGGGATTCTATTTTTACCATCAGCATGACATGTTCTACTGGACAAGGCAGAGTGACATTTGTACAATGGTACCTGATGTTTTGTTAGGATTGTTGTATGTTGTTAGGTCAGCGTAGGTAGCAGCTGACGTTTCGGAATTGCTAGTTATGTCATGCGTATTTATAAATAAGTAGTCCGCAAAATAGTGCAGCAGGATTTTTAGTGCTCTTTAAAATAACCCTCTACATTTTCTTTTAAAACATTTTATTGAGAAATATTATAATCTGTCACAGTCCCCTCTATATAGCAAACTGTTTACGTTTATGGTTATATTCATTTGTATCGATATCAACACTTATTAATCCTCCTTCAAACGATAATGTTTCTTTACCTCTGTACCATTCCGCTGCTTAGAGATAATTCAGACTCTACTAACATGTCAACGCGTGATTTCCGTATAATTTAGTTTTACGAGTTTAAACTAGATCGGAATGAGGCCCAGACGGCCACAAACATCATTCAAGTCTGGGACTAGAGAATACACTGTTTAACGGTATTTAAAAAGAAATGGAGAGAGAGACTTCAGCCTTGAAGACAAAGAAGGTCGTGGACACACTTCCTCTCTTGATGACGATGTTCTGCTAGCTTTGGTGGAAAAAACCCCGAGAACATCCGTTCGAGAACTTGCAGGAAAACTCAGCCTTCGCAGATCGATTGTCGATGACCACCTCAAGGCGATTGGGAAGGTGAAAAGGCATGCGAATTGGGTTCCACTCACATTAAACAACCGCCATAAAAACTAGAATTAGAGCCATTCGAGCATATATTTTCAGAAGAACAACGACATAAGTCTTGATTACTTGAAGAAGTGGAAAGGAAAGGAGGGTTAATTTAACGGAACCTTGTTTTAGTTTGACATGTAAAGTACCGATACTTTACGCTATCGGTAGTGGCTCAACAAAGGAGAAGCAGCACAGCATTTTCGAAAGCCCCCAACTCACTAAAAAAGGTGATGGTTACCGTTCGGTGGACTTAATTTGGTTTGATACACTACAGCTCCTTATATCCTGGAGAAATCATCAATACCGAATCGTATTGTAACCAAATTAATACAATACATCTTCATTCAATCAGATGGAGCCTATTTTGTTGCATGACAACCGCGGGGTACATGTCTTACGTGGGAAGTCACAAAAACTTTTGGAGCTTAGATATGAAACTCTGCCACATCTGTCCTACTCTCCGAACCTCTCGCCTATGGAATATCATTTTTTTAGACAACTGGACCACTACTTACGTCACAAAAAATTTAATGGACAAAGTGAATTAGAAAATGCGTTTTTGGACCTTATCAATGCTTAAGATAGGAAATTTTATTCCGAGGGAATGGAAAAGTTGCCAACCGTTGGCAGAAATGTATTGATAGTAGTCGAGACTGTTTTGATTAAATAAAACAGTTGTAAACCTGTCGTTTTTCTTTTAAAACTAAAATCCTACTTTATTTTTCGGATAATCCAATAGAATTATAATTATAATTTAAGGCATATGATCTTGTTAACATTAATGGGAGAAATGTTAACAAGATCATATGCATGAAATGTCGGCTGTGATAAGTGCCGGTCTCTGATATTAGGTGCTCCGGACAAAGACATCTCTCAAAAATTATATAAAAATTAAACTATTTTCTATTAAGTAGTAATGTTTAAATTCTATTTAATTCAACATGTCACCGATTCAGCAACATTGTTAATAGGCTAAAATCATCTAATTTCATCCTCTTTGCAATTCAACTTCATCTTTGTAACTTCATAAAAAGTGGCCGACATTTAAGTTAATGCCGACATTGGTTATGATATCACATATGAAGTATCTTTTACCTTTGATGATGATTTCCTTTAAATGAATAAATACTTTAATTAGTGATAAATTGTTTCAATATTATGCATTATGTAGTGATGAACACAGCCGAGCGGCCCATGAAGGGGTGGACTTACAACGTGATGAGCGGTGCCTTCGCCTTCATCGCAGGAGCCGGTCGGGGAGCATTCAGGACAATCTACGCAGATGGAAACGCCGTTGCAGATCTTGTCCCCAGTGACTACTTCACTGCCTTCTTGTTAGCCACTGCTTGGAGGACATCTCTCCGGAGGTAAATTACAAATATAATTATGGTGGTTTATATATTTTATTAACTTGCATATATCGTTCACACGATAAAGTTGAGGTAAAAGTATGTATATTTTTTCATTTCCCATTTTGTTGTTTAATTATGGTTTTCTTTGTTTATTATCATTCAATTATATTATTTAGTTGATTCATGATAATTTATATCAGGTATTTAAACTAAATGTATAAATAAAACTGCTCCTCATTTATACATATTCATTTTAATATTTATCTTATGTATTTTTTTTTAAAACTTATTTATTGAAAAATATTACGATCTGTCTGAAGGACATTTATAACAATGTTCAGAGATCACATTCACACTCTATGTACAATAAATAAAATAAATTATACAGAAAAATAATTTGTATGCAATGAATGAGAATAAAATAACCTAAAAATAAATAATTGAAAAGAACACATACATACCTATAAACAATATTTATAATCTGGCGAGAGAACTCATTTTTCTTTTAGACTTTTTCTTCCAACTATGAAGAGAAAAGCATGACTCCAGGAGATCCCTGCACTTCTCTCTCAACCGCGTCACTGGGGCTAAACCCAGTGGAGATTGAGCAAGAGTACTATCTTATGTAATAAACTCAAAATTCGAGCATATATTTTGAGAAGAACAACGACATAAGTCTTGATTACGTAAAGAAGTGGAAAGGAAAGGAGGATTAATTTAACTGAACCGTGTTTTAGTTTGACAGACGTAAAATTTAAAAGGATAGAAGAATTTTACACTTGTAAAAATATGTTTAAAAACTATGAGTCAAAGTATCGTTCTATCTTTGCTACGCTGTCATCTGGTTATTATCTCAAATACTGCTTTCAGACTTTGTAAACAATGACTTCATAAACAGTCAGACATTATTACGTCACGATTAGTGTGGTGAGTGATAAAAACAATTGTTATTAGTAACAACAAGTTGTTAATAAAAACAATTAGTAACATTAAATTGGTAATCGTTTGCTAGAGATAGCTTATGTGGCAAATAATTCCCCTCAGCGGTTCTTATCTTTCAAGTTCACGGACACGATTTACATCAGAAAATCCTGAGTTCGTACCTAAGACAGTGTCTATAATTTTTTTTCTTCTCTCTCTCTCTTTAATTATTTTTTTTTTACTAAGACTTTTATTTTAGTTATTTACAGAAAACATTTTATTTAATATTTGTATATAGCTTTGTAAATAGATTAGGATCTTATCTTTATTATATTCAGAGAATCTTGAGTTCGTATCTAAGATTTTTTTTCTCCCTCCTTTCATTTACTTATTCATTTTTGATATATACATATATATATTTTTTTTTTACTGAGACTCTTTTATTTTATTTGTTACAGATGTTTTATTTAATATTCGTATAATTTTTTGTAAACAGATTAGTTATTAAGTATTTATTTTATTATTAGTTATACTTTTTTTTCTGCTTCTTCTTCTTTTTTTTTTTTTTTGATATATTATTTAGAATTATGGAGTCTGATAATAGCTGTTCTTTTAACGAATCAGATGAAGAGACTCCCTTCTCCGAAATCAGTGAGACCAATTCTCAATATTTAACAAGGTGAACTCTCCAGAAGCTGTGCTCTCGGGTCGGCGGGCAACTCACCAAAAAAAAAAAAATAAATAAAAAAAAATAAAATAAAAACGCTGGGAATTATTATACAATGCTTTATTATTTCCTAACAATTATAGATCAAAAGTAACATTACTTTCCTTGAAACTTGAAGAAAAAATAAATAAAAGCTGATTCTTAAAATATCCCTAAATAATATTTGATTTCATCATTAGTAATTTACTAAGAAAAATAAAATATATTATTTCATTTGATACTAACAGTTTCAGGATATTAAAAACTAAAACAAAGGAAATAAGCTTTACAGTAAAAAATATTTAAAAATAACATATGTTTGCTCCGAATTGTCCGATTTCTACTTTTTATTTTATTATATATAATATCCACAAAAAAATTTATACTTATGAGTTATTCGGAAATCTTATTTTACAACTCCTCGTAATTTTTTTTTCAAGCTTCTTCGCTAATACTTCTTATTATATTACGTATGTAGAATTCCGCACATTTAACCCTACTATAGAATGTCGTGAAAAGTAATGGAAAGTGACGAAAAAATTATAAGTAACAATGTCTGAAAACTAATACTATTTGAAGGAAATAGTATATAAGGAAATTTATAAGGAAATTAAATGAAATTCCCTAACTAAACGTAAAATTAAAAAAATATTTTTAAATCTGAAATAAAGTATATAAAATTCAACGAATTAAGGCAATGGCATTGTTTAAAAAACTATTTCATTGTACTTGTGTGAAAGAAGAAGTGAAATATAAAATTATTTAATGGATGTATAAAGCATACGTTTATAGCATTAAATATATTTACTGTAGTTTAATAAGTCTAGATCTGACATTATATTTAAATATTTAGGTATCTATCATCAGTTTATTCCGAAAAATATCATACAACCCTAAAATAAAATAAAATTAGTGTATAGTTTGATGAAATTTCCTTTTGTGATATTCCAACTGTATCCACTTACAATTAGTGTGACAACTTTTGACCTGTCTATGACAGACAATGCTAATCTCTTAATTCCGTTTTAGTAAAATTTGTAATGGAAATTAACAGTTTGATACCTAAAAGTCGTGCAATCCATAATTAACGGATTGTCCAATCCATAATCAATGGATCGTACAATCCATAATCAATCGGTGATATAATAAATAGGACTTCTGTTATTTTAATGGCATTTATGATTTGTTAGCTGTAATTTTTTAGCTTTAGCTCAGTTAAATATGCAATTCTAAAATTTTATAATAGCCCAACATAGTCAGAAAATAATTTCTATTCAAAGTTGAGCGGTAAGTAAAAGTTTTATGTTGAGCGCACCAGATATTTTAAATGTTAGAACCCGTTTACTAGTTGAAGAAAAATAATATAAAACAAAAGCTATCATATTTTTCATAACCCATTCCAATATTCAACTTACAAGACTTATATTTTTTAAATCAGCGGCTTTGGAATGGCAGATGAGGTTCATATTACTTAGAATAAGACATTGACAGCCACACTACAAAAGCCTGAAAGAACAAAAACTAAACATTTTCAGGAGACAAAAAAGGTGAGTTCGAACTTCGAAGATTCATTGATCTGAAAAGATCCATCTACAATGAAACTAGAGTTCTTTTTTTTCTCGGGTTCAATTTTCAAATTAATATGAAATCAATTTTCTGTCTCTGACTATCTGGAATTTGGCGGCATTGTATCATTTTTACAGTCAAGCTCATTTTGCAGTTGCCAGGAGGTTTCGATTGCTGTAAAGATCGTTAAATATTATAACAGACTTACCACTCTCTTCTTTGTTTTGTCTAGTTCATAGTAAGCAGTACCCAGCATCAGAGCAAGGGAATTCGAGCATTTTCCCAGATGCACTAGCCGGACGTCTGCCTTTGTAATAATTTAATTTTTTTGTGTTTACAAAACTAATATCTAGAGCAACTACATTATGGGACTAACAATTGAGTGTCTATTAGCTACTTGGGATTTGTTTTGACCTTTGTACCAGTGCTTTCTATAAAAAAAGCATACAAAACGTTTGAGAAAAATAATTTTACCCTATTAATAAAGCTAATAATAATAATAATATAATAATAGCTGGTTACCGAGGAACGCATGTTTTGTACACGCTTTAGCCCGCTCGGTCACCCCACCCCCATTTCCTGTAATACCTTATAGTATTAGTTATTTTCTCTAATTTCTGCTGATCTAAAACTAATTTCCTCTCCGAACATATTTATCTCTCTTTATCTTTTCATAGTTTCTTTTTTCCCCTACTCACAACAGATCCAGATCCGATACTTGGCTGTTACTATGTATTATTGATTCATTATTAATATTATTGTCACCATTCTCATTTCTGTTCTCTTATGACCTAATCCAAATATTTTAAAATATCTTAACCCCTCTGATGCAACCTAGAACATTTACATACCGCAATCCGAATTCCCACACGTGTGAAAAATCCTATCATTGTTTAATCACTTGAATGGAATATGATATATTTCTGTTCTTCTTTTGATACTATGGTTTAATCTAATACAAAGTTCAAACTATAGTTATACAATTTAAAATATATATATATTTATATATATATATATAAATATATATATATATATATATATATATATATATATATATATATATATATATATATATATCTAACACAAAGTAAAATTGATATCTGAAACGAGTGATAAACAAAAGTAACGTTGTGCGAACATTAATAAATCAGGCTTTAGTCATTTAATCAGAGGTTAGTGAGATACTTTCGCCTTACTCTAATACGCAAATAACTGCATTTCATTAGCATAAATATGCGCATACATTTGCATGAACATAAATTGCTCCCTCAAAAGCAGACCTTCTTCAGCTCTACTCGCTACCTCCGTCCTATTGTAATTGTTTAATATATACATATACACACACGACAATGTATATAGGTTTGTTTAAGATGTTTATTTTAGTTTTTAAAGATAATTTTATTACATTTCTTTTTATTTCATTATTATTATATGTGTATTTGTTTCACATATGTCATGGTATCTTGTAATAATTTGGGTACCTAGTAATTATTATCTAGTAAATCTATCGGGGATCTGGTAAATTGGGGACCAAATTAGGTCAACCAAAAATCCCATTAATGTATTTCCATAATTATTATTATTATTGATTTTGAACTTTCTTGGTTTTTATGAGAAATATTTACCTACCCGGACTGAGGTCAAGGGTTAAGCTCAAAAATTAAGAACTTTCTGACGATGTTCGCTGTGCCTAGGAGAACTGCTTTTTGTCCTCCTTCCAACTCTTTTTCTGACAATTTTAAATTTTTAACAAAGCGAATGCTCTAATCTGGAATGAGGACATTGCCGGAAATTACAATCAGATATATCTGTACTTGATTCA